CACAATCAATATGAATGGAGAATCGAGATTTGGCACGGAGGTGGGCGGCGTATGTAGACGTTGGTGACAAGCGCGCTGTTCCGCGCTTCCCGTCGCTACTCGAGTCATATAGCGGAAGGATGAGGCGAGGCTGAGAGAGAGCAGACGTCAGCTCCGTGAGCACCATGGCAAGGGCTGAGCCGTTCTTGGAAACCAGCGGATTGGAAATCCAGCGGGCGGCACAGCTGTGAGGACAATGCCGTACGGCCTGCGGCGCAGGTCCAGGTCTTTGTCTGATCGCTAGCGGGAACGGAACGCGCCGCGAGAACCAGCGAGACGGACTGATGGAATTGTGAACAGGCTGCGCACACATAACACGAACCACATTTGCAGTGAGTTACAACGACAAGTCGCAGCCGACAAACGGCCGCGCTTAACGAGGCGTTATTTCGTGTGCAATGCGTGGCGAAACTGATGAGGTGCTATTGGCTGACGCACCGGGGTTGCTCAGACGCATGACCGATCGTCGAGCAACGCGTGAGAGTCAGACAGTGCTCCGTACAGCATACAACGGGTAAGTTGCGCACCTGCCAATTAGCCGAGGACAGACATCGCGGCTCTTGACGTATGTAGTGGTGGAGGTTTGACCATATTGAGCGGGCGGGTTCCTGGCGAGCAAAGTTTGCACGCGAAGCGCCCATAGATGAAGGTGTACGAGACGGGCCGGGCAGCCAACCATGGAGGGTATCACGCAGCAGACAGTGGCACTCGCGACTTGGATATGGAGCGCAGCACAAGCATTAGGCCTATGGCAGTGCCGCAGCCGAGCATATTGATGATGCTAAGGGCATAGGACGGGTGGGCGTGGTGGGAAGGTGTGCGGCGTGGATCTGATAAATGAAACACGGCGAGACCCATGAGCGCCTTCTTGTTTGGTGCTGGCCTTGAAACCGGCGGAGGCAGGCACCCAGCAGGCCTCTGAGCAGGCGGTTAGGAGGAGGCAGTGCCGATGGGCCATGACGGCACCCCTTGATGGAAGCGCGCGGGAGGCCGGGCGATACGCAGCGCGTGGTGGTGAGTCGGAGTGATTCGCAGGCGTCATCGCAGGCGTCGCGGGCGCCGTCAGGCGGGGGCTGCCATTGTTTTGTGTGCTCGCTATGTGTCGGGCAGGCTGCGGTGCCGCGGTCTGGTGAAGAGTTTGGTGGTGCGCGGGCGTGCAGCGCGGCTACTGCGTTTGGCGATGGAGCAGGTGGATAAGCTAAGGTTTGGGCAGCGCCAATAACAACGACACAGCACTTTAATGTGAGGTTTCCGCGTTGGCTTGCATCCTTCTAACGATTCCTGGTGGATCAACCTCGCATGCCAGCACGCCGGGAGCGCTGGTCGCACGCAGCCGTCTGTGCCATCCTGGAGGCCTCTCCGCCCACTCTACCCTCCTTCACACCCAGAAAACGGCTGTAGGGCTGTAGACGCGACTTTTCCGCCAAAAAAACGTGGCAGCGGCCAAAATGCAGGGTCTATTATGTAGATAGTCGAAGGAACCGCGTCTGTGGTCCTTCTACGAGGTGTTCGGTGATGGTTCTGTGCCAGCCCGGGTGGGACAGATAAACGCGGGGGGCAGGGGCCACCTGCAGCTCGGGCCAATGAGGAAGGGACGACATGGGTGGCCGCCCGGGATGTGTAGAGCCCATGTGTGCGCCAGCAGAAGGAGCGAACAGCCGCCCTCCGTTGAATCCTGTTGCTCATCCGTGGCCAGCGTCTGGCGTCGGGTCGCCCCTCCCACATTCGTCGCGCCATATACTGTCTTCCCGCCATATACAGCCCCCGCCGTGGAGAGGCGGCTTCGCTGGCATCGCATCGCCCGAACGACACCACGCCCGCGCTGCCAACCCCGGGATCCTCCCTCTACGCACACACTGACTCTGAAGAGCACAGACGACTCCCGGGCCACCAGTCGTCGAGTCCCGCACGGTGCCTGACCTGACCGTTGAACTCATCTTACTCCGAGTACGCTACAGTGTAACCACGACACTGTCCCCGGCATCACTCAAGATCGTCACTGCAAAGACTCTCACGACCCCAACGAGACACCAAGATTATGGTCGCTGGACACCCTCCCCATAGCCCGCCGTAGATTCGACTTGACTCCGTAGACTATCCAGCCTTGACCCCCAGCTCTGATATCCCGCCTTGGACATGTCGACCATACTGCATATGCCCGCCTTTAATTCCGCTCCCCATGGCCCTGCGTTTACTTCCGTCAATGGTCGATTGTCTCTGAGCCCGCCCGACGAGAAGAAGCCAGCCGTTGCCGCCAAACCTTCTGCCTGGAGTCCCGTCTCCCCAGATCTTGAGCCCAAACATCACTCCCGCTCCCCAGAGAGCGACACGAGTTCGTCCACTGTTGGCAGTGGAGATCGATCTCCTGATAGCTCAGACAAGACAAGGTCTTCTCCTGAACACCCAAATAAGAGAAGACGCTCCGGCTCCGAAGAAGACGCCTACGGCCAACACAGCCCTGATCAGAGGACCGCTGGCCCCAGGCAACTTCCACTTCCATACCAGCCCTTGAACCGCAACACAACCATGAGCATGGAAGCCCCTCCACTACCGACTCTGCCTCCACTAGGTCGTCCAGACGCTGAACGACGCTGGCAAACCGAGCCCCGTGAATTGCCTCACGCAGCCCATCAGCATTTTCAACGCCATGAATCGCGTCCTATCGAGCACACCCGCACCAATGACATGTCTCCTGATTCGCAGTCTCTTAGCCGTGACATGATCGAAGAGACTGAGTTCACGCGGGCTGGTGTACAGGTCGAGCTCAAGAAGCGAAAACGGGTATGTACCCTGAGCCTAACCCCTGACCAATACTAACCTCCACAGCAATTTGCCAACCGCACCAAGACTGGCTGTGGAACATGCCGTAGGAGGAAGAAGAAGTGCGACGAGGCCAAACCAGAATGTACGTTTGAAAATGGCTTCCTGTTCTGACCAAGTCTGACCTCTATCAGGCAACAACTGCACACGCGGTGGCTTTGTCTGTGAAGGCTATGCCAACAAGGTACCTTGGCCGAAGAATGGACCCGCCAAACCACCTGCACTGATAGCCAAGGACAAGCTCGCTGCCTACCCTACGTGCCCAACTTGTCAAGAAACGCACACACCTCACTGCAGACCACCTCATAGCACTGAAGTGTCATACACACACTCTGAGATGCATTCAACCAATGGTATCGATCGCAAGTCATGGAAACCTTGGAGTGACTCTGCGCCTGCACCGCCACCAGTTCGAGCTGCCTACCAGCCAGAACCGCCGCCACCACCACCATCAGTACAGTACATGCAACCTGCGGTCAACCACTATGAAAGGCCTTCAAGCCTGGACCATAGACCTGTGCATCAACAGCAACAGCAGCCTCACCACAGTTCTCGTGGTTATCACCATGCTCCGCCAAGCACGACCCACCTCGCTATCAACACTGCTGTCCCTACCACTATGTGAGTATTTTCTTCTGATTGGGAACCGACCGAATTGTCAACAACTTTTCGACATCAGATCATGTCTATTTCATGTGTTTAATCTTTGACTTGAATTTGGACACACTCGGACTTCATCAGCTAACACATTTCTAGGGCCGCCAAGCCTATCCAGCAGCTGCATGTGGCACCGCAGCATCAGCCTCCTCCACCACCACCAACATCCTTGCCACCTACGCGTTCACCGACACGCTACTCCTCGACGTCTACATCGACCATGTACAGGTCTGAAAAAGACAAGATGCTTGCTGGAGAGCCATTCAACCCCTTTGACAAGGCCTTGATGCAAGAGCGTCATTTGAGCGCGCAAGCACAATCTTATTTCAACGGCAAAGTCAACCCCTCCAACGTTCTATCGAGTCACACGGTCGACCACTTTTTCAAACAAATCCTGAACGCGGGTAAGAGAGGCGAGGAAGGGAGACGAATCGAAACTCATATGGCTGAGACCTGTCATGTTGCTGCGCCCTTTGCTTGCGACTACGGCTACCATCTGAGTTTGGGTGAGAATGTCGTCATCGGCGCTGATTGTCGTTTTCATGACTCGGCGAGGATTGCCATCGGAAGGAACTGCAAGATTGGGGTTCGAGTCACTATACAGACTCTGAAGACGCCGACCGATACAAAATCCCCAAAAGGCAGCAACGGCGGCACAGAGGTTGCGCAGGAGGTCCTTATCGGGGAGAACGTGTACATTGGTGATCACTGCATGATCGCGGCTGGAGTCCAGATCGGTCCTAACACCATAGTGCGTCCGGGTTCTGTGGTTTTAAGCGTAAGTTCATCACCACATTTTTTCAAGCACTTTTATACTGACCTCGCGTAGTCTTTCCCCGCCAATTGCATCGTGCAAGGGAACCCCGCCACCAATATACTCTAAGTTGTTCAACGTGACAACGTCTTGCGCTTCTACTGTCTTTTAGACGTTTTGTTGCGCTGAGGAGATGCCGGGGTCGAGTTAACCTATTTGATATGGGTCATGTATGTCATATTAAGCGCCACTGTGTGGTGCAGGAGTTTCGGTGTTTCTACAACTGGAGGATACCCATTGCTAAAATTTCTTGCTATTTATGGAAGGGAGAGAGGAACCAGTATATAGTGGTACGTTGAGCACGGGTGGTATCTGACTTGTATAGTCTCCTTGTATCTTGGTACCTTGTGCCTGCTGGACATGGCTCTAAAAGCTCAAAAACATAACATCTCCTACACGCGGTCGCTTCAATCAGTAACTGCGCTTTGTTGAACAGACATGCTGGATTTGCCTGCTCGCGGGTAGACATGCATGTTCCATGACTGCGATTACCTACCCCGCCATGACCTACTAGTGTGCATTGAGCCTAGCTCAGATCTTGGCCGTGAACAGAACTACACGTGCGCAGCATGGCCCGTGCACTGAATCTGAGCTTCAGGCCGGGAATCTCAAAATATCCGCGGCGAACAAGCCAGCGCCGCATCTCCAACGCAACAACACCACGACTACAATGCCGCCCAAAGCGCCCCTCAATTGGGGCTTACTACCGCCGTCCTTCCTCCTCCCCTCATCAGCGCGCTGCCTCCTCCAGCAAAATGCGCAACAAATCTCCTCAAGACCCGCCATCGCATACACATCGATCCGAACCATAAAATCTACCTTCGGTCCCAAACCCGACCGTTTCGCACATCACCCCGCGCGAGAAGCCCTCACCAGCACATCGACGGCAGCGCTCGAGCGAAAAGCACACAGCACGCCCCTGCGCACCGGACTGCTCGCCCTGAAGAAGGGCATGACATCTATCTACGAGCCCGAAACAGGGAAGCGCACAGCATGCACAGTTTTGCAACTCGACCGCAATGAAGTCGTGGCGCATAAGCGGAGAGATATAAACGGGTACTGGGCTGTTCAAATCGGGGCTGGGCAGAAGGAAGCGCGGAATGTGACGAGGCCTATGTTGGGTCATTTTGCGGGTGCGGGCGTGAGTCCCAAGAGATGGGTTGTTGAGTTCAAGGTCAAGGATGAGGAGGGACTGGGCGTTAGTGTCGGGGAGATGGTGGGTGCGGGGTGGTTTACAAAAGGACAATGGGTGGATGTCAAGGCGATAAGTAGGGGTATGGGATTCGCTGGTGTAAGTTCTGGGTCTCTATCTGTTCATGAGGACGGGCGATGCTAGTTGGGATGGAATGCTAACGGGTAATTTGTGCAGGGCATGAAACGACACGGCTTCGGTGGTCAACCAGCGTCTCACGGTCAATCGCTCATGCATCGTGGTATGGGTTCTGCGGGAGGTTCCCAGGGTTCGGGTTCTCGCGTGTTGCCTGGAAAGCGCATGGCGGGTAACATGGGAAACGAGAGTGTGACGGTCAAGAACTTGAGGGTGTTGCAGGTTGACGAGCCGAATGGTATCGTGGTTGTTCAAGGTATGTTGCGAAGTACGATTTTGTGTGAATCGATACTAATTGGGTATTTGCAGGTTGTGTTCCTGGACCGAAGAACCAGATCATCCGTGTTCAGGATGCGAGGGGCAAGCCATGGCCGAAGGGACCCATGTCGACGGCTGAGCTTAAGCCAGAGCAAGTCTTGGCCGAGGCGGGTGTACCTGATGCTACGGAGGCAACGACAGTCAGTGCTTAGAGACATAGACTCGAGACGAGAGCGGAGGCATTGTATCATATGATAGGTTGAGGTGCTTTGACTTGGATGTTGAGCAGCATGTACTTGGCGAAGCAGCACGAGTGTACAAATATGTATACGTTATGTTTGCGATGGATGAAGCCTTGCCATGATGGTAGTGGTGTCATTCCAGCAATCAGGCGAATGAAATAGGAAAGAACCATCATATTACCAAGTCATTACACATTTACATCATTTCGTCAAGCTTCATCTCATCATCTTCACGCGCACCCTTCCCATCGTTATCACCACATCTTCCCATATGCCCTCCCACCAGCACCTGCTCTCTCAACACCAGCAACCCTAGCACCCCAAGGATCCTTCTCACAAACATCACTCCGCCCATCATCGCTAGAAGCATAGTCACTCCCCTCCACCACGCCATTCCCACCCCCACTAATCCGCTCATCATCCTCGCTATCACTAGGAAGATAGTCGCTCCCTTCCGCTACACCATTATCATCACTGTCACTCCTATACCTCCCAATCCCCCTCCCTTTTCTAACAGGTGTACTACGAACAGGAGATGACATGTAAGGACTCCTGTTTCTTCCTCCCCTTACTGGCGCATAGGGACTTGGACTCCTACTCACGCTTCGGAAGGCGCCGGGCATGGGGGCGTAGTCGCTTCCGCTATCTCGATGCCGTCGGAATAGAGGTGGTGGTGAAGGTACTGCAGGGGGTGGCGAATGGTAGTCTTCTGAGTCTACGGCTGTGGGGACGCGGGAGAGGCGGTCGGAGTGTGAGGAGCTGGGTCGAGATGCTATGTCTGACAATGCGGCTGTGTGGGCGCCAGGTCTATGGTCGGAGTACGTTGCATGGTCGTCATCGCTTGAGTATGTTGAACCGCGTCGGTGACGGGGGTGGTCTACATGTCTTGGAGGAGGAGGAGGAGGAGGGGGAGCTGAGAAGCTGCTGGCCTGATGGAAGGAGCTGCCCGGGCGGTGTAGACTGGGCCGGACAGATCGGGGATCTGGATTCCTTGTACGAGGCTCACGATGGTTGCGGCGGCTATCCTCCTCGAATCGGTGGTAAGACTCTTCTCCATTCCTCCAACGAGTACGTTCACTGTGGTGTCTTTCTCGGTAATTGTGTGGACTTGGCGCGTAGTCATCTTCATCATCTCGCTCAGGGTCTGGGTGTCGCCCGGAGAATCTGTCTTGGCGATTCACTGGGTTGCGATTCGCTGGGCTGCCATCGCTGTAGGATTCGGTGTCGGACCGATCCGTTGTATGAGTGTGGAGCTGTTGGAAGCGGTCTAGAAATTGCTTTGCTTCGCGGTAGTTCTCGTGTTCCCTGGGGTTCAGGCGGGGCGGTTGGCTGAAGGAATCACTATTGCCCCAGCCTGCTTTTACCCTCCGATCTTCGGACTTGGATTTAGGATGAGGAGCGTAGTCTGAGGGGGGACTATCACTGTAGTTCTCTCGAGGAGGGTGGCGGATCGGTGAGCCATTACCCAGGGAGTCGTCCGTGGAACGGTCATCGTAGCGAGACCCACGATTTTTCCAAGCATCTCTCTTTACTTCAGGCGTGGCTATGTAATCTTCGTCAGACTGAGAATCTTGTGCGATGCAGTCTGGATCTGAAGACTGAGCCCGATACTGTGGCCGCCCAGACGGTCGTGGTTGATGCCTTGGGTGAGGCTGTGATACACCGTACACGTCCCTTGGTTCTCTTGTCTGCGTAGCGTACTCGGATGCCATAGCCCGATTCACATATCGCCTATGATTGGGGGGTAAATCTTCGTAGTATCCACGGCGTGGGGTGTCGTAGTCCGAGCTCGAATCCGTGGGCGACGAGACGTAGTTTTCTGAATGCTGGGTATCCCGGTAACTACGCGGGACTTGGCCACTATATCTCGGTGCTGCACGGTGTGAGCTGCTCTGCTTCTGACGGCTTCGGCTGCTCTTGTGTGGTTGGTCCCACATGCTGCTGGGAAACGCGTGGAAGCACTACGACCTAGTGATTAGTTGACGTTAAGCGGCGTAATTGGGTTATGCAGTCTCGCAGAGGAGAGGTTCAGGCTGCGAGTCGCTTCATTTCGTTGTCGTGGCTAGCTACTGGAGAGTAGGGAAAGGCGTCATGCAGAACCACGTGGTGGGCGTCTAACCGCAAGTAAAACGCGCTAGTGTCGCAATTGGACCAAGCCTCACCAGTCCGCCATCTTCGATGCTTCAACACCATCACCATCACAACCCGTCCGTGCGATGTTGTCTCCCACCACCCGTTCTATAGCCGGGAAGTAAACTTAAAGATGGAAAGTTTGCGCGTCCAGCAACCCGGGCATCTGTGGTGATGGCGCGCTTGCTAACCGTGACAGCTGACAGCGCTAACTGATCGCGTCACAACTGCAACCAACGACATTCGCAATGATGAAGAACGATTCAGGGCAATGCTTGATTAGTCTTGTGTTCTCCTCTTGTTCATCACACTTCATCTCTCGTCAGCCTTGCGCTCTCGGACAAACCTGGTTGCTTGCTTGCAGATTCCACCTATCGGAACAATCACTCCTACAGAACCCTGGGATTTTGCGAAGCTCAGCCTCATGAGCCACAGACCAGGTCTTCTACCCTCCCGCAAGGGGCAGTCCTGTCATCTTATGTCGGATAAGCTTAATCAATATGTTTCCGTCGAGTCTGGCCCGGGCACGGTTTTGTGGAGCTAGTGGCTGCCCTGTTATGTTCATGAAACGACAACAGCGGGACTGCCGGGACTAGACTCGTTACGAAGCGACTTCCGCAACGCCATTCTGTTTGTAAACGCCCGTCAAGCAACCTATCCATGGATGCATGAGCACCAAACTACGCACTGTCGACATGTTCATGACTCTTTGGTGGTGGAAGTATCTTTCCGCCCGCTCCAGGCACTGGTATGCGCGTCCTGGCTTCTAGTAGCGATTCGAATTGTCCGATACCCACTGCCGTCGGTGATGAACGGCGTCAAAGGGTCCAGGTGCATGCTCGAAAGGAACATACCCCCGTAGGTAGAGTGAGTGGGGCGTGCTTCAAACACCAGCCAAGAATCCTACGAGATATAAAGGAACGGGTCAGCCACCGGGTATCGTATCATCCAGTTCTTAGCATCATTCTCTCATTCTCTCATTCATCACCTGTCATTCTTTTCAGCAAACTGTGTTTGCTATCCATTCTTTATCTTCGACTCGATAACTTTCCACTATGAAGTACCAACTCTTCGCCGCCGTTGTCGCGGCTTTCGCTTCCAGCGTCAACGCTGCTGATGCCGTCAAGGGCGCTGCTGAGGGTTTCGCAAAGGGTAAGCATTTGGTGCCATATCCATCACAGCTCTATGCTAACACATTCCAGGTGTAACTGGTGGTGGCAACGCCGCACCTGTCTACCCGACCAGCACCGCTCAGCTCATCAGCTACCTCGGCGACGACACCCCTCGCACCATTGTCCTCACCAAGACCTTCGACTTCACTGGTACCGAGGGCAAGGCTACCTCCTCCGGTTGCCGCCCATGGGGTACCGGCTCCGGCTGCCAGATCGCCATCAACCAGAACGGATGGTGCGACAACTACCAGGCCAGCGCTCCCAAGGTTGGCAGCATCACCTACGACAAGGCCGGTGTACTAGGAATCACCGTCAAGAGCAACAAGTCTATCATCGGCCAAGGCACCAAGGGTGTTATGAAGGGCAAGGGTCTCCGCATGACTGGCGGCGTCAAGAACATCATCATCCAGAACATCCGCATTACTGAGATCAACCCTCAATACGTCTGGGGTGGTGATGCCATCACCGTCGACGGCGCCGACATGATCTGGATTGACCACGTCACCACCGACTTGATCGCCCGTCAGCACATTGTCCTCGGCAACACTGCTTCCGGCAAGGTCTCCATCACCAACAACGAGATCAACGGTGCCACCGCCTGGTCTGCTACCTGCGACAGCCACCACTACTGGGGCATGTACTTCACCGGTGCCAACGACATGGTCACCCTCAAGGGCAACTACATCCACCACACCTCCGGCCGCTCGCCCAAGGTTGCTGGTAACACCCTCCTCCACGCCGTCAACAACTACTTCTACGCCAACTCCCAGCACGCTTTCGAGGCCGACTCTGGCGCCAAGATCATCGCTGAGGGCAACGTCTTCCAGAATGTCAAGGAGGCTGCTCAGTCTGGCCTTCCCGGCAAGGTCTTCGCTGTCGGCAACAACGGCGCTGCCTGCAAGTCTGCCATGGGTCGCAACTGCGAGCCCAACGTTTACGGCAGCTCTGGTACTCTTTCTGGCTCTGACACCAGCATCCTTGCTGGCATGAAGGGCAAGAACATTGCCGCTGCCGGCACTGCTGCCAGCGCTAAGAACGTCCAGCAGTCTGCTGGTTACGGAAAGATCTAAGCGATTCTGATAGAGTCAGCTGTTGCTTAGGGGAGTGTGGATTCATCTGTTCTTGTAAATATCTTCTATTACTTCGTATATATCCTTTTGAATTGGAGATTTGTTTTCTCTCCAACGTTGAATTTGTCTTTGTGCCTTCTTTGTGACAACTTTCTCGTTGGTCAGTGTTGTGTGGCGGGAAACCTTTCTGCGACGTTGCGCTGTTAAGCGTTTTTTACACGCGCAGGTGAAGGTCAGAGTGAAGGCCAAATTCATCTTCACAATTGGCGTGAAATGTCATTGTGAGGCGCGTCAGCTGTGTCTCTCAATGTTCTGATGTGAATGTTTTACTAGAACTCTTTGCTCCCTCTACCACACAATAACTCTACTTGAGAATTAGACTTCATACAACGAACCTAGCGACACCGACCCGACATCATGTCGTTTCCAGACCAACATACCCATTCTGCACCTCTTCTGCGCAACGGTGAAGATTGCAACACCATGTAAGAAATGTTCCAGTCATACTCATCGAAGTGCTCATTGCTAACAACACACAAGTACTAGACGCAACCAGTTGATGTCCCCGCTCCTGAAACTTCCAGTCGAGCTCCGAGTC